AAATATCACATTACAAAGTAAAATGGGTTTAAAATGCTGTGTCATGTTAAATGTACACAATCAAAAGGGAATAGTTTGACCGCCATCATCTTTAGTGAGGTGGTAAAACTAGTTCTAGATCATTTTGCCCCTCTGTATACAACAAATTTCCTATTAAATTAATTGTAGGAAAAATTTATACAAAACCAGTGACATACGTTGAATATTTCCATTAAAAGCATTCAGAACATACATTGTCCCACACAACACACTGATCAAAACTAAGACCCACAAACTCAGAGGCTAAGTACTATAAATGCGTTCCAATCACAGCAAATTTGGCAATTGCTCCAAGCCCAGGTCTCAAGGGGCGAGCGTTTACTGCAGGGTTTAAGCTGTGTAACTGCAGGCGGGTCCACTGGTAACGGGATTCTGGAAAGGAAATTTCCCACAGGAAGTGATAACTTCTAAATCATTACTTGTAAATCATTAATTAAACAATATGTAGATAAAGGCAGAGACAGCAAAAGATGAAATAGCTTTCTGATCCTCCTCACTGAGCATTGTGATCAACAATGATCCAAAGAACAAACCCATTTGACACTCATTCTCTCTCTACTTCCTTTGCATTTTCTTGTGGTCATTTCCAGTTTGCTGGTGCCACTGGTCACCCTCTTCACCTCTTTCATCCCAATGCAAACGAACATGCACATTCCAGCTCCCAGAAAGGGATGCGGTACAGGAAGTGGAACTTGAGTGCACCACGTTTCCTGGAGAATTGCAGATGAAAAAGTGTCAACTCAGCATACACGTCAACCTTTGAGTATCAAAACCTTTGGCCTTACAGAGCAACCTGGGACAAAACACCTCTTCTGAAACTCAAAGAATATGTGAAAGCGGAAGACATTTATTATCCACTGACAAGGACGCTGGTAGATTTAGGAACTGTAACAAACCGATAATCTGCAAATGGTCAAATATCATCCAGCGAATTTTGATTTTTACTATTGCAAGTCAGACACTTGCGAATGGGAGCGATTAGCCAGCCGCCTCAACGAAATGTTGTTACTGGTGGTGTGTAGACAAAACTGTCAGCGAGTGAACACTGTACTGCTATTTTTCAGCTCCATTACACCTACGTGGCCTTTCAAACCCCCTCAACAATCCCATCTTTCATCATAGAGCCCTTCGAGAGAGCCAGACCCAGCATCCCAGGCAAATAAAAAGCTAAACAAAACATCATAAACAAACACATCATTAGTTCATGTCATTCAATCAGCTTAGAAACAATTAGCATGCATTGAATGCACTGAAAATATGATACAATTCTGATAAAGTATCCTTTTGTTGGGATTATTTCTCTTCATGGGTGACGACATCATTAGTTACTGTGAGAGAGAAAGCCATTTCCCATGAAGGCTGCTGTACTGAGGCAGAGCTTCACTTCCAGCCCACACATGTTGTCACCAGCAGCTCTGGCATCATTTGTTCTCTATGATGTAATCAAGCTGCACTGAAAGCAATAGCGTTCGCTCCGCAACTGGCGGCGGGCAGACAGTAACTCTACAGAAAGGAGCAATGAGCTTTAGTGCTCCAAGATGTCATGTTAGACAAGGAACAAGCGAGGAGGAGGGGAAATGAAAACGCGGAAATTGAAGACAGGCAGGATGCAGCAGGAGTCATTTATCAGTACATAAACGGGATATGGAGGGAGGGGGGCTAGTTTAAAGGGTTAGTTCACCCAAAAATGAAAATTAGCCCATTATTTACTCACCCTCAAGCCATCCTAGGTGTATGTGACTTCCTTCTTTCAGATGAATCTAATCGGAGTTATATTAAAAACTGACTTTGATCTTCCAAGCTGTTTCATGGCAGTCAGCGGGTGTTGCAGTTCATCAGTCCAAAAGAAGTGAAATAAAGTGCATCCATCCATAATAAAAAGTGCCTCACATGGCTCCGGTGGGTGAACAAAGGCCTCCTGTAGCGAATCGATGCGTTTTTGTAAGAAAAATCTGCGCTTCTGCGTTTGTCACTTCTGAGCGGCGCATGCGCAACGCCAATGTCCTACATCATCCGTCATTAATGCACATATTAATTAAACCTACAATATTAAAGTCAGTTTGTAAGCCCAAGCTATTGTACGGACTTTAAAAAGACTTGGAATAAAGTGCACACATCTTGTGGACAACTTTTATGGTCCTTTTAAATCAGATTAATCACCATTTGCTTCTGTGGATATTTCCACATATGGAAAATAGCAGCATGAACATTCTTCAAACTTTCTCCTTTTGTGCTCCACTGAAAACAAGAAAGTCTAAAACATCTGGAACAAAAGGTGGATGAGTAAATGATGAGAGAACTTTCATTTTGGGGTGAAAGAAAGAAAGAAAGAAAGAAAGAAAGAAAGAATCATGGCTTTACTCAATTTTTGTGTTGAATAAAAGTGTTTTAATAGCCATTACACAGGGCAAACAATCATGATTCATGTCATGTTGAGGCATGAATGTCTTGTAGTGGCCTATGACAAGGATTTAACAGATGGAAACAGCTAAGGAAATGTGTCATATACAAAAGCTGACAAGACAGCAGATTGTCTAGGGAGAGCCTCAAGGGAGCTTCATGTAACGTTCACACACACAAACACATTTCGGACATGTGGGGCTCTGTTGGGAACCAGTGCTTGCTAATGAATTGAGTGTGTGAGAAAACATGTCACACACACACACACACACACACACAATTCCCACAAAGACATAATAGAAGCAATTCTGTCTACCTTCGGAGGAGGGTCTCAGTGCTCACTTCCTGTCTGGAAGCATGAAATTTTCCATCGTATGACCCCCTATTTTTACTTAGTCCTACTTCAAATTCTCAGCTGACTAATGATGACAAACCTGCACTTCTTTTCCGAAGTGATTGTGAGTACACTCTTTATCATCCTACCGATGCATGTAAAACTTGTCCCAGATCAGAGTAAAAGCCAGTAAGAACCTTGTCTTGTACATGAAGGAGTTCTTTGCACTTTGTCTAAATACAGCCAAGCTTCCAGTCAAAGAGAGGAAGTCAGACCGTTCCTGGGGATTAAAACAAGGGCATGTGGGTTCACATTTCCCCTCCTGCTTTTCTCTCTCTCTCTCAAAAGGAAAGCATACCCAGCTGTTTGACAAACATTACTAATGAGACTGAACAACTGCCTTTCTCAGCTGACTAATGATGACAAACCTGCACTTCTTTTCCGAAGTGATTGTGAGTACACTCGTTATCATCCTACCGATGCATGTAAAACTTGTCCCAGATCAGAGTAAAACCCAGTAAGAACCTTGTCTTGTACATGAAGGAGTTCTTTGCACTTTGTCTATATACAGCCAAGCTTCCAGTCAAAGAGAGGAAGTCAGACCGTTCCTGGGGATTAAAACAAGGGCATGTGGGTTCACATTTCCCCTCCTGCTTTTCTCTCTCTCTCTCAAAAGGAAAGCATACCCAGCTGTTTGACAAACATTACTAATGAGACTGAACAACTGCCTTTCTTTTTTTACTCTCTTTCCAGAGTATGCTGAAGCCTGTGGGATATAGGGCCATGCATATTCCGAAGGCTCACTCTCGAGAGAGAGAGAACGTAGTGAATCTATGGAAAAGCAAATGACTCCAGTGCAAGTTATGGGGGAGGATGCTGCACTAATGCTGATCTGAGAACAGTTCTGTAGCTCTCGTGGTTAGAGGATTGAGACAATGGGCCCATGTTAAACAAGCTGTTTAAAACAAAAAGACACAACTACTGATGAATGTCAAGACTGTTAAAATGTACCATCATTTAAAATGACAGAACTTTTGGTTGACTGGCTACTGTCTAAAAAAATGGTTTTCTCTGTTTTTAATGACAAATAAAGGTCAAAATTTGCTTGCTTCAGCGTGCACTCAAGCTGGCATGAACATCACAAGTTTATAATGCAGAATCTTAATTTATACCTGGAAATAAACTACGCATAAACTAGTATTTTGGTGGGAAAAATATGAAAAATGTATAAATGTTTCAGCCTAAGATTTAGCACTAGAAACAGGTCACTAATCAATTGGTAACATTAACCATCTGGACTCTTTGTACAGTAGGTCAGATATATTTGCTTCCCTTGAAACTCAAGATGCTTTTGGATCATTCTCAACATTTATGGAGTAACACAAGGGAGGGACACACAAAGATTTCACTTTTAAATATAACTTTTTAAATAAATGTGCATTTAAATAGTTATATGAATTATTTAATTAATAATGAAAAAGTTGCATTCAATTAGAAAAATACAAAATGGACTGGACTTTTGTGTACATAACTATAGGGTGAAATCTGGAAGAAAAAAAAATGGGTCAGGTTTTCATTATATGCCAGAAAATGGCCCAAATATATGGCCACTTCTTCAGGCCACTAAACCCCGAATCTGTCATTGAAGTTGTGCTCTAAATTGCTAGAAAAGGGGGTGTGACAGAAAGTCTAATAACTTGTGACGACAGATCAACATTTCTTCATGTTGACAGAAACAATAAAGAATAATTGTACGTTTTCACAAATCATGATCAAGGTATTGTTATTGTCCAGGTTATGCAACTGACATTACCTGCAGACATGTTCTAATTTCATTTGAAATAAGTCATAAGAAATCTAAATCTTCTTTAATGAACTCTAATTAACTTGCCAAATGAAGTGAATATAATTGAGTAGGCATATGCACATGCAGGTGTTCAATCTGAGGTAATTCTCTGTATTTTATTATTATTTTAATTTATTTGTTTTTTCTTAAACGGACCTCTGTGGATTATGTGTATTATTCTGCAATAAAAATAAAACTCTCTTGGCTCATCTCGGCTAATGATTAAAAAAAACAGACTTTTTATAGGACAACGCAGAACCAGCTCAAAACGCATTTGTTCATAGCGTTGCAGAAATGTCCTTTATCGTGATTCAGATGCGTCTTTCTGTTTCTCAGCATCAGGTTCGAGAAGGACGCAAGGTGAATAGGCAGCCAACTCACGTAATGTTTGGATGGATTCCTCCTCTTCTCCACATCCACCACTTTTACATCCAAAACTGTCCGAAACTGCATTGTGAAAACAGAGGCTTCAGAAGCACGGCTAGTTATCAGACAGCCACAGAATTAAATGGACAGTCACGAAGACGTTTGCACGAATAATATCGATGTTCCTCTTCTCAATGAAAGCAAACGACTGTTGCCCCCCGGCCCGTCCGTTTATTCCCCCTTGACGTAATGTAGAAATGAAGATCGAGTAATAAATGATGCAAAACTTATATCCGTCTGCAGGAAACGAACATTGCCGTATCCATTTCTCTCATAACGCAGAGCCGATTCTCGAACCGCCGCGTTCCAGCTGAATTCGAATCGAGATACGTTCTACGGAGTCATTCTGGAATCCGGATCGGCGCGTCCTTTGTGTGGACTACAGTAGAGTAGCTGAAGTCTGGGGGTTCTCCTTAAATGTGAGCGGCGCGCGTCATAAAGGCCGGGGCGCATTCACCGCGAAGTCCATTCGGAAGGAAGCGTGCGCACTGGGAATGGGATATTTGGGCAATGGGGCTGGGCTTCTAGACAAGGGCTCTGTTGCAGTTTAAGAGCCTCTACAAGGCAATAGAGACAATGGCTGGATTTTACAGACCAGGCATTGTTTGTTTGTTTGCTTCAGCTTGTTTAAAGGCCAATTGTGAGAGAAAAGAATGCAGTAGCGTATCTGGACTGCACTAAAACCATGTCACACTAGAAATGAACTGTCATTTGAAAAACGTTCCATAAATAAAAATGCAAAATATGCATAGTCCATATACGCATACAAACAATTTCATAAACGACTGCTGCGCATCTATTTCATAGTCTAAGAATATCACAGACAGCGCGAGACGTGATTTTCGTTACTCGTATTTCCACTGAGCATACGGAGGCCTGAACGCGCACAGATACAGATGTGCTCATGGACAGTAACGTATCTATTTGCTCACAGTGACCTCCTCAGGCCATTGAGTGTAACTACAGTTTCAAACGACCCATTCAGCTCACCCACTATAAAACTCCAGGACACTCTTTCCCATATAATGGAAGTGAAAGGGAACTGGTTCCATTAAACTCCAATTATTATTATAAAATCTTTTTAACATGGCTGTAACATTTGGGTTAAACATTATTGGGTTAAATCGTATCTCGAGAACAGGACTTTTTCTGTAAATTTAGGAAATGTTTCTTTCTGTACAGCTGAGGCATTTCCAGCATACGCGAGATCTGCACTGCCATCAAAGGGTCATTTACTTTATCTACACACACACAGAGTGATGATTACACAAAAATAATTATAACTGAATCCATGTGTTTTACAAACAAGCTCAATCTAACGGATTAAACAAACTAATTATATGTCTGAATAGAATCTAAAAAATATTTTCCCTCACAGAAGGAGATGGCCCTGATCTCCCTTGCATCCCTGGAGGTTTTGACGGTTCCTCGTACCCTCAGCAGGTCTCCGATCTCCAGCACAGTGCTCTTCCGTTCAGCCTGCTTCAGCCGTTTGAGTTCATCTTCGATGTTAAATCCTCTGGAGGATCCGCTAGAATCTCTGCCTACATTAACATTAGTGCTGGATTAGTACTTTTAGTGGATTCACGTCCATACACATCATATTTTCTATAACATCTACAGCTGGATTGCTTTCATTTTAAAGAGAATGTTCTAAAAAAAAAAAAGACCTATTTGTTTATTTGTTTGTTTATGCATACATGCTGATTAAATATTTGCAGCAATGAAAATATTATTTTCCATTTTCTCCAATCTTTTAAATCACCATTTTAAAAATCCTTGATATTTCCAGGACCATTTGAACCCTATATAGCCTATAGTTTTGTTTATATATATATATAATGTGATTTTGATTGAAAACTAACTACCATTCAAAAGTTTGGAGTCAGCAATTATTTTTGATAGAAAATTTATACTTTTATTCCACAAGTATGCATTAAAATTATCAAAAGTGACAGTAATGACAATTTTACAATGTTAGAAAAAATATACAAATATTACGCAGCACAACTGTTTTCAATTTTGATAATGGGAAGAAATGATTCTTGAGCATTATATCAGCATATTAAAATGATTTCTGAAGGATCATTTGACACTGAAGACTGGACTAATAACTGCTGAACTTTGCTATCACAGGAATAAATTACATTTTAAGATATATTCAAATGGAAAACGTTTACATTTTACATTCTAATATTTCACAATATTATTTTATTAATTTTACTGCATTTTTATATAATACAACCTTGGTAAGCATAAGAAACCTTTCAAAAGAGTATATTCAAGACACGTATTTCTGTAATTGTACTGAATTGAAATATTTTGACTGTCTTCAAGAAAAAAAACAAAATAAAATAAACACTTGGTGTTACTAATGTAGTGTCAGAATTTTCATAACTTACATTTAGTTGATTCTCCTTGATCATTCCATTTCTCATTTTTCCAACAAAGACAGTTTATGACACCAGTACTGTCATCCACTGTGTGTTGAAGGAGAACAGAAAAGAAATAGTAAGACCAGGTGCAACAAGTGCCCATTTTTGAGGTGCAGTCCTGGGTCACTTTGATCCCAAGGCAAGATGACACACAACCAAAGGCAAAATTACTAGTCAAGTGCTAAAGTATATGGAGGAACTCCCCCCAAAAAATAAAACTGCAACAGAACTTGACAATGACCACCATGTATTTTTGTTGCGTAAAATGATCTAATTGATAACAGATTATTTTATTTATTTATTTTTGACTTTTTATTTATTATTATTGTTTTATTTATTTATTTATTTTTAAACAAACTATAGACCTATTGAGGCAATGCTAAAATAAAATGTTTGCACTTGTATGTTGAAAATTGAAATATAAAAAAATGTTTTTCCAGACCTCCATAGCAGTAGAAATCTTCTCTCTCTCGCTTGTAAACAACCGTCCCCAGTACATCCACCTGGAAGAGTGGGTGAGTCTTGTAGAAATAAACTCCTACAAAACATCACATGCACATGTCAAATATGGGAGCTTTCTGGCACCATTATAAGAACAGACTCTTCTTATCTTTACATTATTATTTAAAACAGCAGCTGACAAAGAAACAAGTGGCTGACAAATAATGTTAATACTTTCCCGCTTATGCAAAAGTGCTGTAGTATTTTTATTCCCGTGTAGTTGAAGATAAATCCAGTAAACAATATTAAAGGGGCCATGGGTTAACGGCTTGATTTTACGTTACCAGGTACTTGTCTGGACTCTTTCATCTGTAGGATGTCAGTGATGTAGAGTCTCGAGTATGCGGAGAACACGGGGTCCAAACCCCACAGCACAGACGGCAGCTCATCAGCATCAGCATCTGCGGGATTCACTGCCATCGGACATCACTGACAAAACAAAGTTAAGCACCGAAAACTAAAAGAAGCATAAACACGGCAGCAAATCTGCGCGCTTATGAAGTGATCTTGATTAAACTTAACTTGTTTTACTAAATGCCACAGCAACAAGAAATAAATAATGCTGGAGCTTGATGAACCCACGGAATCATGTTTGTTTTTCCGCTCTCTGCGCAGTTGACTCACTGCGCACATAGGAAGGAACAAAGCTAAGCTCCTTAATATTAATTAGGTTACGTGATAGGACGCTCAAGGAAGGTGACACATAAATGTAAATATAGGGGAAATAAGCCTGTTTTTAATTTTAAAGAAATTCAAAAATATCTTTTTATATTTTATATATAATATTTAAAAAAGTAAGCAGTAAAATGTGTTGCTATTTGTAAACATTTAAATGTTTATATTTAACTTTATTTTTATTAATTTGTTTGTTTGTTTGTTTACTTAAGTTTTTTTTAACATAATAATGTTACTATCTGAAAGAAAAATAATAATAATATTATTATCTTTAAAAAACTGACTGAAAAAACTGGGAGGGGGGGTAACAGTATACGGGTGACCAGGCGAGGGCGCCACGCATCTAGTGAAAGCAAATGTTCTCTGCGGAAGAGCTCCAAAGTTTATGGCAGGAAGTCACAACCGGTGAGAATGAAGCATCTTTTTACAACACCGCGTTTTACAAGAGTTTTCAAAAGTTGGCTAGATCTCGTCTCCATGATGAGTATTTTAAAGAAAACGTTTGTTCCCTGACCGGGAATCGAACCCGGGCCGCGGCGGTGAGAGCGCCGAATCCTAACCACTAGACCACCAGGGAGCGCTGAAGTTGACACGCTCTCGTCAGTCTTTTAGAGCAACTGAGGTCAAACTGTGTTTTTCAATATATGCCATACACTCATTCTCTTCTGGATTTTACAGAGCATTGGGTCTCGTGAAACCAATATGGCCAAGCCATAAAAGTATTCTCGTCGCTTCATAACGTTACGGTTGAACCACTGATGGCAGATGGACTATTCTGACCATGTCTTTCCTACTTGTCTGGACCTTGACAGTGTAATTTACTTGGCAGTCAATCGGACAGTCACAAGCCTCCCGGTTTTCATCCAAAATATCTTAAATTGTGTTCCGAAGACGAACAAAGCTTTTAGGGGTTTGGAACGACATGGGGGTAATTGATTAATGACAAAATTTTCATTTTGGGGTGGAGTATCCCTTTAACACAGACTTTTAAGAAGGGATGGATGTTTGCTTCAAGTGATAGGCCAGGTAAGTGAAATTATATTATCTTGCTGTATGTGTGTCGTTTTCTTTACGTTTTCTGACTAAAAGCAACCAAAAAGCCATTTTAAAGTGGTTAAGCAAATAATAATAATAATAATCGGCAGGGATCCCAGACCAATACAATTAGTGTGCCTCCTCTAGTTTTTTAAAACCCACGAGCCGCCACTGCACATAACAGATAAGTTATCATCAAGGAGAATGATATCTATGTTTTATTACTATTAAGGTCATTATGAGCTCTTTTAGAGACAGTAAACCATTTAATACTGATCTGAAACCTGTTCGCTGTAGCCAAACTTCTGACAATAAGACAAAATACAAAAAGTGTCCTTTAGCGTGTAACTATTTTCAAGGTTGTGTCATGGATGATAGCTTTCCATTCATTTTCAAATTGTGCGAAGTAGCCATCATAGTCCATAACCTGACCTTTGGACAGAAAAGTTAGGGCAGATTAACAGTCAATACAAAGAAGAGGTCAAAGAGTAACTGTTCACGTACTGATCACATTTTCCAGAAGTGCAAAGCAGTCAGTTTGTTCTCTGATTGTATGTGAAGCTGACCTACTCAAAATACTGTTTTTGGCAAGATGCAAAAGTTTCAGATGCCTAATGAGCAACATTAAAGTGACGTGACATGTGGCCAAGTATGGTTACCCATACTAGGAATTAGTGCTCTGCATTCAACCCATCCTTATTTTGGGTTATGAATCCGACTCTCTAACCATTAGGCCACAACTTCCCCATTAGTAGGAATAGTTCACATTTTTATTATTTACTCACCCTCATGAAATTTCAAACCAATTTGCTTTTGTTCTCCATGAAACGCAAAAGTTAAATGATCAAAAACACTATAAAAGAACTATAAAAGTAGTCCATGTGACAATATACAGTATCAAATGTCTTCTAAAATCATCCAAAAAAGTATCTGTGACATGAGGGTGAGAAAATGATGACAAATTTTTTGAGTGAACTATCACTTTAAGTTTGATTTACAGTTTAAACCTACCTGTATTAATCACAGTTAAGCTAAATAGCCAGTGCTTTTTTTTGTTGAGTCACGAAAACTGTTTTAAAACCTTTTGGGTCAAAGTGTTTTTAACATTTTATAGGTCTACAAAAACATGAAATTAAGCATTAAATGGAAATGCTGTGACAGGTAACTGTCTCTGTTGGAGGTCTGTCTGTCTGTCCTATCCCAGCAGTACTCTCTGGAGCCTGTCTGCAGGGACGCTGTTCTCGTCCTCTGACTCCGCGTCGCTCTGTGGGTTTGAGCTGCAGGGAGAGGAACACTGCGGGGAACAGAGGTAATGCATGAGCGGCAGGCGGTACTTCCCACAGAAATCCACAAACTTGATGTGCCTCACACATGAGTCGAAGTAAACACCTAGAGGGCATGATGGGAGAGATATAGAGAAATGTGAAGAGGTGGACAAATATTCAACACGTCAAAGACAACTTTGTCAACATAAAGTTTTCAGTTTAGAACTTAGTGTCAACAGCATCAGTCAACAGCAACTGTGTCATAATGTTGATTACCACATAAAAAAAAGCAAAAATTTGGGAGTAAATGGGGTCAATCTGTAAATGTTAAAATTCTCACTTTCAATAATTTAGTCGCAAACTTGTGCATGTTAACACAATTTTAGTGTGAAAAAATCACTTACTTTACGGAGCCCCTAAAGGGACCTAAAAAATCCATTGACTTTTGCATGCGAACGAGAAAAGAAAAAATTTCTAGCATGAAAAATATATTGAAAATTTCACATAAGCATGCAAATATTTCACATTAGGTTTCACATGCTCATGCAAACGTTTTCCCGTTTGTATGCAAAAGTCAGATTTTTTTTATTTTTGTAAAGTTCCCTTTCGGTTTGTCATACTAATCTTTTCTGTGTAAAGTTATTTCAATTTTCATGGCTTTGTTTCGGACATACTCAAAGCACTTACGCTACTTCCGACAACAGGACTAATGGATTTGGAACGTCTGCTTTGAAGCGTCCATTGTAGACAGGCTCAAGCTGTTACAGTGTGATATAAATTTTTTTTACTTTTTTGATGAATGAAGGACAAGATGAAGTAATCAACATTATACCACAAATTCCATCAGTTGAGCGTAACTAGTACTGAACCCAGAATATTCCTTTAATTAATACATGATGCTGTCTAAAGCAAGGTTACCCTCACAGGATATAGATTATACAGCCTTATTGTCCTCCCCTACCTGCACACTTTGGGTTGGGACAATTGCTAGCCAGGTTTAAATAATGGTTCAGATTGGACGGTAGGTCACACGAGCTGAATGGAAGGTTCTGGGTCTTGATGGTGCGTCCTGCCAGTTCCATCAGGGATGGAGGGTCGTAGGTCATGTCCTTGATGAAGCGCACAACAAGAGGGTTTCCACGCAGACTGAGCTCCTGCAAATGGACGAGGCTGAGGATCTCACGAGGGAGGAAGGTCAGCAGGTTGTTGTGGAGACTGAGAGAGAGCAGGGAGTGTAGTCTGCAAGGACAGAAATCAGATCACAACATTAAAATACACCTAACTGCTTTGACTTTACAATATAGGCCTACAATAAGAACATAAGTAGCAAAAGATCTCACTTGTTGAGCTGGGGCGGTATGCTTTGGATGCGATTGTCACACAGAACCAGATATCTCAGACTGGTGAGGTTAGCAACCTCAGGTGGGATGAAGGAGATGAGGTTCCCTCCCAAATACAGCAACTCTAGACTGCAGCATCACATAACAGAGGTCAAAAGTTGAAGAACCGTGACATTAAAGTCAAGTTTTGTAGATTTTAGTTTGTGTTAGCATTGAGGCTAGCTATATGCTAGCATACTCCTACAAGTTGACAAAACAAACATTTAGCAGATTTAATACCTGGAAAATTGCACAAAATACTCATCTTGCTAGTAAGGCCATGTATAAAATTTTGTTAGATAAAAAGGTTGTATGAAAATGTCCCTAATTATAAATGTGTGGATATTAATATGGGAAAAGCTAAAGTGGAATTACTTTAATGCAGAGGTGATAAATCATACAATTAGGATAAAAACACACCAAAAGGGGGACGTTCAAAGTTCATCTACTGTAAATACAGAATTTAGCAATGCAATGATAAAACAGGAAAATCTCATTTTAACTTTCTAGGTTTGAATGAAACAAGAGATCATTAACTTAAGAGTAAACAGACTGTTATGTCATGTTTAATTATTTGTCTAAAAGTACTTAACCAGTTCTCTCATTCTATTGGTTAGTATTTTACCCAAAAAGCCCCACCAACCAACCCCAGGCCATGGAATGCATTCAGCTACTGTCTACTTTTGTAACACTGATTCGGGTCATATGCAAATTTGTACTAGGCTCTAAACAGCCCTCAAGAGATACAGTATATGGTCTAAAGCAGTGTATCTATGTTAGGGTTATTACAGTTAACTATAACTACAGTACAACCATAATTTCTTTAACTTGAAATAAAGTAAATGTTAGCTGAAAAAAAAAAAAAAAAACATTTTAACTAAATATTACATTTTTTTGTTTTCATTTAGTTTAATGTGATGTACTAAAATAAGTAAAACTGGAGAGAAAAAAAACATACATAAAAAAAAACAATTGCAAAAACACAACAAAATTACTAAAACTTGAACTAAAATTGAAATTAAAATACAATAAAAAGTTCAAAAATAAAGAATAATTAGATTTTTTTCAGAGGTTGAAACCAGTTTGAAAAGTCAGAGCAATTCCTTTTCTTCTACTTACAAAAAATAAAAAATAATAATAATGTCTCGCACTCGCACAGTGTACCGTGGTAAAAAAAAATTAATACCGCCTTTATTTTTTTGTGTATTTATTGTTATTATTATACATGTATTTATAATAATTTAACAGAATAATCAGTCTTTTTTATTGATTTATTGATTTTTTTTATTATTATTATTATGTAGTTTGGGTCGTAGTATTAAGTGACAGTTCATATCTGGGCAAAGAAACAAACTCATACCTGGTCAGGTTCTCTATTTCTGCCGGGATATTCTTCAATCTGTTTCCTCCAAGTGCCAGGGACTGTAGCGTGGTCATTTTGAGAAACGGCACGGGAATCTCCCCAAACCTGTTCCCACTCAGATTCAGAGTCTCTACCTGCATGCGTTCAAACTCCTTAGGGAACGAGGACTCGTCCAGAAGATTGTTCTTTGCTACAAACGTCTTCAGGTTTGTTAGGCGCATAATGTCATCTGGTATGACTGTGAGCGCATTATTGCTGATATCCAGATATTCCAGGTTAGACAGAAAACAAACGGAAGGAGGAAGAAGCAATAACCGATTGTAAGTGAGATGCAGCTGCTGGATTTGTTGTCTTTTACTGTCCGTGAGATGATCCAAGTTCAAGTCGTCCAGCTGCAGACGCGATAAATGTAAAACAGCACACTTGTCGTCCATGCTTGGGAAACGAGCCATATGGACTATTTAGCCTAGTAAAGCAAAAAATAATAAAACAGGAATTCAATAAAGCAAAGTATCACACTTTTTAACGGTGCAACAATCTAAAAAGTTATCGCTTCGGAGTTTTCGTCTTGAATTATAATCCATACACATGTATTATATATATAGAGAGAGAGAGAGAGAGAGAGATGATCCCCTTTGCCTAAAGTGACTAAACTGCAGCTGTGCGAAGTGCACTGCACGCGCCTGACAGAAGACTTTGGTGGTTTTATCTGTACTGGAGTGCGCGCAAGTGTCACGCGGCTCACGCCTCCTGCAGTCAGTGGTTGGTCATCCAGGGGCCAAACATGATGCAAGTTTGTTCCGTCTCATTAGTGTCTTATGCGACCCTGCACGTATGGTTTTAGTGGTTTATATGAAAACCTGGTGACATTCAGCACAGCAGGTCTACTTGTTTTAAAGGGGTCATATGATGCGATTTCAATTTTTCCTTTTTCTTCCCATACAAATAAAAAAAAAAGACTATAACAGAAGAGAACACACCTTTGAATACGTCAATAATTATTATAATAAACTAAACAAATTAAACTTTATCTTTCCTGACTGACTGAAAGCTGAAATCTGGGCAAAAGTTCATCCCTCCTTCTGAATTACTCCTCAGACCTCTTGGCCAATTTCATCTTCTCCATAGTTTCCTATGAGGGGGGGAAACAGTTCAAAAGTCACACATTTTATTTGCTTTAGGTCCATGAAGACCCAGCCAAACAAAACATCAGGAAGAAAAGGTTTGGCACGGTATGTTTAGAAAAATGCACATCTGTGACGAGTGGGGCGGGGCCGCGAGTCGTGGGAACGGAGCGTGGCTGGTGGAGTTAATGATAATGATCGACACCTGCGCACTCACCGGTCTCGAGTCCCACGGAGGGGCACTGGAAGGATAAAAGGAGGAGTGACGACAGTGAAGGACGAGAGAGGACTAGGCCTGGACTATTTATGTTTTGGTTCTGTCAACGCTATCCCACGACCAGTTCGTACGTATTTTACGAGGTCACATTAGACTTTGAGCATGCGAAATTCGTTCGGACAGTGCTGCGAAAAGGGGCAGGAGCAGGATATGACATCTCGCGCCAAAATATCCTCACTAGTCATAATTCTTTTCTATTTAAGTGATTACAGTCAGTCACAAGTATAATTAATCAAGTAGGCTACACACACGCACACATACAAATCTCATGTAATAAAAAAAATCACATAAAATGATAAAAAAAACGTACCATCCGCTCCTGTTTCCCTTGCCGCCGCTTCTCTTTTTATGATCTTTTAAAGTTGTGTTGTATAAAACAGGATGATGCGACACTGCTAAAATTAGCGATTCCTCCATTTCTGTGCCGAAAGAGGTCACTTTGTGACGTTTTGAACTTCTACTGGTCTCACGCATTCACGTGACGCAAATTCGCAGGTCAGCGTTCACCAAATTTGAACTTTGCTACACCGCGAAATGCGAAATATGGCACTGTCCCAAATGGCACCCTAAACCCTCGCGGTCTTCCTCTGAGTCCGCACTTTCGTGACGTAATGCCGCTTTGACTGTCGGGTAGCGCATAACGGATCGAGGGCGCATAACGGCCGCAAAGGGGGCGCTCACAAGCACCCTTCTGAACGCTAAAACAACATCACTCGTACGATTTTGTGTAATTTGTCTAGACCACAGTGAAGGGTAGGTTTAGGGGCGGGGTTAGGTGTAGGTCATTCGTACAAATTCATACGAATTGTGCAACTCGTAAAATATGTACGATTTAGCACAAATCGTATGAATTTGTACGAGTGAGGTCGTACGAAATAGACACCTTGTAAAATATGTACGAGTTGCCGTGAGATCGGGCTGGTTCTCTTTGTGCGCGGCAGCCGTCAGTGAGGGGCTGTCGCACTATTTTCAGTTTTGTGTTTTTGTTATTAAATTGGTTAAATGTTTGCCGGTTCCTGCCTCTTTCTTCCCCGATCTACGAACATTGTTACAACATCCCATCACTCTTAATCAGTAGTGCCCAGGACATGTTATTTGTCAATACTCAGTGGCCGGGTTTCGAACATTACACTCAGTCCCAACCTGATGTTTATTGAGTACGGCCACTCGCCGAGTCCACTCCTCCTCTGTCATCTCCTGATAATTTCCCTCCAGTTTCTCAAGCTCAGGTAACTTATTTGAATCTGTAGAGAGAGAGAGAGAGAGGACGAAAGTCAGACCACATTCCACAGAAAAAATCTTATCTCATCCAGCTTTGCTGTCCAAATCCCAGCCTCAACCCCAGTTGCAGAAAAAAACAACAGCAATATCCCAGGTTTTAGCTCACCATCACATATAACAGCAGTGCAGACCCAGTTCCCGCAGGCACAAACACAGCGGTTACATTCCATCTGAGTCTCAGCACCATCCTCATATGTCTCGTCTTCTAAGGCACACTCTAAAAACATGTAACAGCACTCAATACACACATATCTTGCAGGTTATTTGTTCATACATTGGTCTGTTGATGTATCATACTAGAAATTGGATTGAGTGGTTGTAAATCTTACTCTTCTCTGGAGGGTTGAATCCAGGCCTGAGGCAGTTGAGGAACTCATCAAAGCTCAGTTTCCAGTCAGCATTCTCATCAGACAGCTCAATGAGGGCATCTACACACAGACTCCTGCAGAACAAACAGTCAACACTGCTTTTAATATTTTATTGCATTTTTTAGTGCAATATATTTCTTATAACATTCTGTTAACATCAAAATAATTTTCATGGACACAATCATCCAAGACTGCTACTACTGGAAGAAGTCATTACTATTTAAAAGTAAATTCTCAGCACTATTTCAGTTTTACATAATGACTCTTTGTCTCCCTCTCCGTGGTTCTCAAGCTGGTAAAGGACATTAAAGAATGTCCACCATACAGCACACTACCTTTCAAAAGTTTGAGATCGGTAAGATTTTTAAATATTTTTGAAAATAGTATTTTATGCTCACCATAATTATTAGAAAATACAGTGAAAACAGTAATGTTAACAGTTAAAATAACAGTTTTTTATTTTAAATACAAAGTATTTAAATTACTCCAGTCTTCAGTGTCACATGATCCTTCACAAATCATTTTAATATGCTGATTTTCTGCTCAAAAAATATTTATATTATTTCTATCAATGTTGAAAGGAGTTATGCTGCTTAATATTTTCGCAGAAACTGTCATACTTTGATTCTTTGATGAATACAAAGTATAGCAGCATTTATTTGAATTGAAAATCTTTTCTAACATTATAAATGTCTTTACTGTCACTTTTGATCAATTTTATGCATCCATTCCTCGCTGAATAAAAGTGTACATTTCACCAAAAAAGAAGGAAGTTTGCAATCAGATAGCATGTATGCTTTCTAGCCACTAAATAGGATTTGATCGTTCACAAAATCATTCACTCCAATTCATTTTCCTCTCTGTTAAGTGTTCTACATTCAATCCTAATTCAATTCAAATTCCAAAGCATTACAATGCCTGTGCAATATCTCACAGAGAGAGCTTACAAAGTAAAAAGGACTTCCACGTTAAAATGTGTTACAGATTGGACAGTAATGGACTATGTACTGAATTATTGTGTAAAACAGCCAAGCAATTCTGAATTTATATTACAGTCTGCAAACTTTATTACGTATGCATTGGCCATTGAACACCCTCATATATCAGTATCAGCTTTGACCTTTTGAAGAACTCATATCGGTCGGACAACCACAGGAACAGTCACAGTGGTAAATCTCTTTGGGTCTTTATCAGATTTTTACTAAATGATGGATTTTGTGCCCACTTTTATTGACCAGAATAAAATGCAATCTAAATGCTGAATGCACAAAGTAAAAACAAGCATCTATATGATAACAGCATCTTGTTTTGTCTTGTTTTATTGTGAGAGTATATGTTTTTTTTTACAATGTCCTTATTGTATATTGTATAGGTTGTATTTTATTCGCGCCAAAATATCCTCACTAGTCATAATTCTTTTCTATTTAAGTGATTACAGTCAGTCACAAGTATAATTAATCAAGTAGGCTACACACACGCACACATACAAATCTCATGTAATAAAAAAAATCACATAAAATGATTAAAAAAACGTACCATCCGCTCCTGTTTCCCTTGCCGCCGCTTCTCTTTTTATGATCTTTTAAAGTTGTGTTGTATAAAACAGGATGATGCGACACTGCTAAAATTAGCGATTCCTCCATTTCTGTGCCGAAAGAGGTCACTTTGTGACGTTTTGAACTTCTACTGGTCTCACGCATTCACGTGACGCAAATTCGCAGGTCAGCGTTCACCAAATTTGAACTTTGCTACACCGCGAAATGCGAAATATGGCACTGTCCCAAATGGCACCCTAAACCCTCGCGGTCTTCCTCTGAGTCCGCACTTTCGTGACGTAATGCCGCTTTGACTGTCGGGTAGCGCATAACGGATCGAGGGCGCATAACGGCCGCAAAGGGGGCGCTCACAAGCACCCTTCTGAACGCTAAAACAACATCACTCGTACGATTTTGTGTAATTTGTCTAGACCACAGTGAAGGGTAGGTTTAGGGGCGGGGTTAGGTGTAGGTCATTCGTACAAATTCATACGAATTGTGCAACTCGTAAAATATGTACGATTTAGCACAAATCGTATGAATTTGTACGAGTGAGGTCGTACGAAATAGACACCTTGTAAAATATGTACGAGTTGCCGTGAGATCGGGCTGGTTCTCTTTGTGCGCGGCAGCCGTCAGTGAGGGGCTGTCGCACTATTTTCAGTTTTGTGTTTTTGTTATTAAATTGGTTAAATGTTTGCCGGTTCCTGCCTCTTTCTTCCCCGATCTACGAACATTGTTACAACATCCCATCACTCTTAATCAGTAGTGCCCAGGACATGTTATTTGTCAATACTCAGTGGCCGGGTTTCGAACATTACACTCAGTCCCAACCTGATGTTTATTGAGTACGGCCACTCGCCGAGTCCACTCCTCCTCTGTCATCTCCTGATAATTTCCCTCCAGTTTCTCAAGCTCAGGTAACTTATTTGAATCTGTAGAGAGAGAGAGAGAGAGGACGAAAGTCAGACCACATTCCACAGAAAAAATCTTATCTCATCCAGCTTTGCTGTCCAAATCCCAGCCTCAACCCCAGTTGCAGAAAAAAACAACAGCAATATCCCAGGTTTTAGCTCACCATCACATATAACAGCAGTGCAGACCCAGTTCCCGCAGGCACAAACACAGCGGTTACATTCCATCTGAGTCTCAGCACCATCCTCATATGTCTCGTCTTCTAAGGCACACTCTAAAAACATGTAACAGCACTCAATACACACATATCTTGCAGGTTATTTGTTCATACATTGGTCTGTTGATGTATCATACTAGAAATTGGATTGAGTGGTTGTAAATCTTACTCTTCTCTGGAGGGTTGAATCCAGGCCTGAGGCAGTTGAGGAACTCATCAAAGCTCAGTTTCCAGTCAGCATTCTCATCAGACAGCTCAATGAGGGCATCTACACACAGACTCCTGCAGAACAAACAGTCAACACTGCTTTTAATATTTTATTGCATTTTTTAGTGCAATATATTTCTTATAACATTCTGTTAACATCAAAATAATTTTCATGGACACAATCATCCAAGACTGCTACTACTGGAAGAAGTCATTACTATTTAAAAGTAAATTCTCAGCACTATTTCAGTTTTACATAATGACTCTTTGTCTCCATCTCTGTGGTTCTCAAGCTGGTAAAGGACATTAAAGAATGTCCACCATACAGCACACTACCTTTCAAAAGTTTGAGATCGGTAAGATTTTTAAATATTTTTGAAAATAGTATTTTATGCTCACCATAATTATTAGAAAATACAGTGAAAACAATAATGTTAACAGTTAAAATAACAGTTTTTTATTTTAAATACAAAGTATTTAAATTACTCCAGTCTTCAGTGTCACATGATCCTTCACAAATCATTTTAATATGCTGATTTTCTGCTCAAAAAATATTTATATTATTTCTATCAATGTTGAAAGGAGTTATGCTGCTTAATATTTTCGCAGAAACTGTCATACTTTGATTCTTTGATGAATACAAAGTATAGCAGCATTTATTTGAATTGAAAATCTTTTCTAACATTATAAATGTCTTTACTGTCACTTTTGATCAATTTTATGCATCCATTCCTCGCTGAATAAAAGTGTACATTTCACCAAAAAAGAAGGAAGTTTGCAATCAGATAGCATGTATGCTTTCTAGCCACTAAATAGGATTTGATCGTTCACAAAATCATTCACTCCAATTCATTTTCCTCTCTGTTAAGTGTTCTACATTCAATCCTAATTCAATTCAAATTCCAAAGCATTACAATGCCTGTGCAATATCTCACAGAGAGAGCTTACAAAGTAAAAAGGACTTCCACGTTAAAATGTGTTACAGATTGGACAGTAATGGACTATGTACTGAATTATTGTGTAAAACAGCCAAGCAATTCTGAATTTATATTACAGTCTGCAAACTTTATTACGTATGCATTGGCCATTGAACACCCTCATATATCAGTATCAGCTTTGACCTTTTGAAGAACTCATATCGGTCGGACAACCACAGGAACAGTCACAGTGGTAAATCTCTTTGGGTCTTTATCAGATTTTTACTAAATGATGGATTTTGTGCCCACTTTTATTGACCAGAATAAAATGCAATCTAAATGCTGAATGCACAAAGTAAAAACAAGCATCTATATGATAACAGCATCTTGTTTTGTCTTGTTTTATTGTGAGAGTATATGTTTTTTTTTACAATGTCCTTATTGTATATTGTATAGGTTGTATTTTATATATTTTTAAAACTGTATTTATCTGTATTATGTCTAATGTTAGTGTTAAGTGTTAACTGTATGCACCAAGGGTCTTGAGAGTAACGCAATTTCAATTCTCTGTATGTATGTGCTGTACATGTGGCAGAATTGACAATAAAGCAGACTTTGACTTTGAGTAAATTGTAAGCATTCTGAAAGACTTGCTTTGCGCTTCGGTCAGAGGACAGTGAGGTCATACTCATTATGTTTTATAGACTAGCCCAGAGATATATCGGTTATCAGAGAGATTTTCAGAATCTTCCAATAGAAATTATCAAAAGCGGCTGTAAAGAAGAACTGATAAGAGTATTGACACAGATAGTGTCAAGTATAAAGACAGTGTTCAGGTTAATAAACCTCACAAATGCAAACTGTCTCTATCTATAAATGAAACGCTTTCATCAGTTCTTTCATCTGATTTGTGCAGGTCAAATGAATTAAAAAAAATAAAAAATATGATTGTGTGTCATACTAAGATGGAGACGAACCAACAAGGGCAAGAAGACATTATTAACATAATCGAGTATGCAAATATGACACCTGTTATGAACGTTATATCTGAATGCATGTGAGAATTTTTAAAGATGCATTGTTAAACTAAACTAAAATGAAGGTGCACCTTTCCACTGTAAAAGCAATTTACCTTATGTGTGCTGCCTATATGACACTTTGCATTAATGTACAGTTCAAAAGTTTGGGGTCAGATTTTTTTTTTGGGGGGAGGGGGGGAAATAAATCAATACTTTTATTCAGCAAAGACACTTTAAATTGACCAAAAGTGGCAAAAAGAAGGATCATGTGACACTGAAGGCTGGAGTAATGGATTCTGTGAGCTTTGCCAACACAGGAAAAAAATGACATTTAAAAAAATATTAAAATAGAAAACGATTATTTTGAATTTTAAATAATATTTCACAAATTAATAATTGTTTTTATTGACTTTTTTGATCAAATAAATGCAGTCATGTTGAGCATAAGAGACTTGCAAAAATATTAAAAAATCTTACCGATCCCAAACCTTTTAAAGTTATACCTGAGTAAGCGGTTGTTCTCCTCTTCAGCATAAGGAGACGTGACATTTATTGCAGTCTCATTATGCTGAATGAACTTCGAGAATTCTGTTGAATCCAGTTGAGCGTCTCCATTATCATAGTTCTGTTGAAACACAAACAGCATAAGTCACACAGAGACACACAGGCATATCTGAAGGCATATGCATTGTGTTCAATGAATCAATATGTTCAAATACACACACACACACACACAAACCTGGAAGTATTTGAGCAGGACATCTGAGAAATTTGATCCTTTAGAAAACCAGCCGTCAGGCTCCACCTCAGACTGCAGCCATTCAATCACATGCCTCCTCAAGTCATTACGGTCCGTAAGGTAGCAAACAACTAAATAATCAAACAAACAGGCACAGCATGTTACAATTATACTGTACATCTGTAAACTAAATAACTTTATACCCTTTCATAACATATTTACCAGCATCTTTGGCCCAGTCAGACCCCATTTGAATAGATAATGATTGAAAAAAAATATGAATAAAACGAAATGAAAATATAATCACTTGTTCATCTGCTTGAAATAAGTTTAAGTCCCATTTCACATATTTCATTCTGTCCAAACAAAATTGCTCAGTAAATAAACTTGAGTACTGGATGTTATATGGTAGTCTCTAACAATAAAAAGGCATAATTCCACATTTTTAATAGAATGTTTAATGTTCAGTTCTCAATCTAACAGATGTGCATTTACTCACTTGGGGTGTTGGCGATTTTTTCCATTTTTTTCTCTAAATGAGAAGAGACAGAACCCAGGTCTGTGAGTTTCATCAACAACTGAAAACAGGAGCTGCTTTTTCTACAAAGTTCTTTAAATATCTTGCATATTTATGTATTCAAATGTGACAAATTGTGATGACATTTCTGAGAGGAAATGGCTGCAATTATTTAAATTACTATGTTACAATGACACTTCCTAATAGCATCTATGGTGGTGGCCATGCTATTTAGATATTAGGTATTAAAGAAAACACTATAAACCTGTTAAATGGAGCACATACACACTTACCTACACAATGTCCATCATGGGCGACCTGCACTTTGAGTCCGGTGAGACAGGCATCACGATGCAGGTCACAGTGATTACGGTACGTCTTCCCATTACTGCCACAAACTGGACGCTTATGGGGTTTACATTGCTGATCAAGACACACACACACACAGAGAGAGACATTGAAATAAGTGTACATTCATGATATCCATGTCGTTTATTTCAGTGCGGTTCTCAGCCAGTGGATCTTGACTCAAAAAAATGAGTCACGGGTCTGTTATGAAAGCATGGAGAAAAAAGCTACATGCAAATAATAATATGCCAACTAACCATGGATAGCAAAAAAAAAAAAAAAAAAACTTTTAAAACTAAGGTGAAAACTCATTCCGAATGTTTTGTTGTTGATGTAAAAAGTTCTGTGTCCAATTCAATTATTTATTTTGGAACCAATTCAATAGCCTACAATATTTGATACAGTGTTTGTTTCAGGGTGGTAAATTACAATTCTGCTGTTTATATATTTACATGTGTATTTGTTTTTCCTGACATGTGTTGATGTTATGTATTGTTGCAGTTCATGGTCTTGGTCTGATTTTTGATCAAAATATTTAGGTAGGTTACTTGTTGGGTCACCACTTGATGACCAAAAATTGAAACCTAGTCTGTTTACAAAACAGTAAGGAGTAAATGTGGGTTTTCCCAAATTGGGAAACAGGGTTGCCAAGTCACTGGTTTGGGCTACTTTTAAACTGTTGCTGCAGGTTTATTTATTTGTTTTATTATTTATTTATTTTTCGTTAAATGTAAAAGTTTGATATATTTGACTGCAATGCTTGTATACTATATTATTTATGTACATTTGTCCAGTGATTAAACTGAAATAAATATCGAAATGAGACAGAGTAAGGAGATTTTTGTAAGGGCTCTGGTAGGGAAGACCTTTGAACTTTTAAATTCTGTGTAATGTATAACAGTGACTGTACAATATGTATTTTAGGCATAGGAGTGGCATATTTATTGTTCTGGTAGTTGGTTTAATTGATCATTGGGATAGTTTTGTACTGCTGTAGTTTTGATTGAGCAATCAACTGTTATTTCGGCAGATCTGGCAACCCTGGTGGGAAAGGCAACATGTGTATGAGTGGGTATTTTAAGAGTCGCAGTGCATGTGTGTCAGAACACATGACTCACCTCGATACACAGACAGGTTGGTTCTCCTTTGTCTGTCACAGCACATTCTCTCCCAGCTCCACAGAACACATTGGCACAAACTTTACTTTTACTCCTCACCTCCTGCACAAAACAGAGAGAGAAAAAGAGAAATGTGAGTAGGCCTACAATATTTTCATACCAAACAACAGCGTATCCAGGATCTTTTCGACATGACAGTGACATTTAGTGTTGTACATAAAAAAATAAAAAAAATTTCGTGTTGTACTTTGGCTCCAACTAGTGGTGAAGGGGGGGAACGCTTCAGAAATTATAGTTATAATACAGGTTTATGCTGAAAGACCTATCGTATTAGTACTCTTTAGTAGGCCTACTTAGTTTTAAAAGTAATACTTCACCTAGTCCAAATACTAAACCCCCAAACACTAACTAATCTCATTTTAATCGGTAAAGCATGCATATTTTAGACGCAACCACAAGATGGCAGACTTAATATCTTAGGCACACTGGTTCACGTCTAAAAATCCTGAGGCAGAATTGTTTATCTATCAATAATAAATGACAATCAAGTTGCTGTTTTCTTTATTTGGTAACATCCAAATATCAAATGATCCAATTACACAGACCCACAGTCATACAAAAATGGACTTTATATATTCTTGTCCACCATGTTTTCACCTAAATAAACAGAACTTGCTCATTCACTCCCTGGCCTTCAGACATGTGCTGGCCTTTTGTTGTGCTGTCTGATTGGTGCAGACTGAAGTGAAAGCCTCCCTGACACAGCTCCAGATGGGAGCCAGACCTGTTGACCTTTGCCATCTAATAAAGAGAGTGAATAACAAAGAGTCTGACCATGACAATACACCAGCACATGCTGTCTCTCACTGAAAAACACAAACATATAAAAGCAGCACCACACGACTGCAAGACAGATGGCGCACCCCCCGCCCCCCACACACACACACACACACACATACATACACACATACCCACATACAAACCATCTGCAACATCTGTGTATCCTAATGTGCTCTGATCCTTCTACAGGAAAAGCATTTGTTTTTAAGCAACAGACCTTTTTTAGCTACCTCTTTGCAGTCTTTCACCTCTGTCAAAGTTTTACTTTATTTTATTTTATTTTGTTATTTAATTTATTTTATAAGTGCAACCAAAAAAAAGACCAAAATAGAACACTGATAATATAATATATGATATAATATTTAAACTGTAATAATAACTATAATAAATATGATATAAAATATAAATACAATTTTATTATATAAACTATATAATAAAAACTATTTTATATATATATATATATATATATATATATACACATACTTGCTGGCTCAGTACAGACCGCATCTGTGTACAGAATGTACAGGAAGATGCTGTACATGCATAGTTGGATACATATTGACACAGCCTTAGGACATCTGTCCATCTCTACGTGCCCTGTGACCCCCTCAACTGTGACCTTTAACCTCTCACAGGGAAGATTGTGAGACACAATAGAATGGTACCTCAAGGAAGTGAGGAAAAGGGATTATGTTTTAAGAGGATCATGTAGGGTGGAGCAGCCTAATGTGAACTGGCAGATGCTTCTCTCTCTAGCACACACATGAGAATGTGTGCACGTGCATTGGATGCCAACAATATGATCTCACTTGTGGAATGTGTCACAGTTTTCCAGTGGTTAGTGTGTGTGTGTGTGTGTGTGTGAGTAAAAGTGTTTGCCAGTTATGACTCAGAGTGCCAGAGAATATGTACACAAAGAAAAGTGAAAAGCAAGCAGGCCTGGTCCATTTATTTGATCTGTTAGTGGACCCAAAAACCTTTTTCAAATGTTTCCACACACGGTACTTTTCAGTTGAAATTGTATTTAAGTTTCTTGACCAGGTCTGATTTAAGATATTTCAACATTGTTGCATGGTTATTCTAAAATATGGAAAGAAGTATATTCAATTAGTCTTCTTTATTCATATGAGCATCCTAACCGGATGAACACAATAACACTGGCACAACCAGAAATATGAAGCAACACAACTGTTTTCAGCATTGATAATAATTACGGTATCGGGCCGATACTGGTCTCCTGTACTCGTACTCGTATGACCTAAAACCAGAGGACAGACAGCACATTTCTCACATTCCAGAGTGTGTCAGCTGAGATCGTTTGATGGCGATTAGAGTAGACAGGCTCTGTAAGACGACACCACATCATTAGTGAACAGAAGTCAGAATAAAATCACTATAGTGATCCTACCCATGAAAAAACAAAACACTGATATGATAGACTAACAGCATTGCCTGTTCTCATTCTGGTTTTTGTTTTGATGCAGTCTTAGATACACCAGCCCTTCACTCATGTGGAACACACATTTCACATTCATTAACCCCGAGAACCACAGAGGAAACACTGCTCTAAACAAAACAAAAATATGTGCTCATCCACATTTGAACCACGTTTGACACCCCATGCATGAAACACTACAAGTTTGCAACAAAGACAATGTGCTAGAGACAATTTGGGCACGCTGTCAATGGTAGACATTTTTTTTTTGGTCTATACATTTTAAACAGATTTGCTTGCTATGCGTCTGCTTTGCAAAACTACAATAATGTTTCATTGCAACACCCTTCAGTAAGTGCTGAAACACAGTGTTTGTTCCTGTGTATGTGTTGCAGCATAATCTGCAGTATTTGTCAGAAGCGTGCTCAAAAACACAGCCAGCTCTGAAAACAATAAAAAATGGCCTCGTGTTAAAAAGTCATTTACTCCATTCCCAGTACCAAAACACATTTTTGAAAACTTGAGTTGTACTATTACATCGTTCAGGCTTAATCTCAGGGCTTCAGTATCAATATATTCATATTTCTATCCTCTCAAACTTTCATACTTATTGATTATATAGTACTCAACTTTTCTAGTTACGCTGAGCACTGAACTCACAAGTCTGTGGTAAACGTCTGAAGAGTACTCTTCCTGTGAAAAATGAACTGACCCTTTGCACAGACTGTGATGACTCATTTCCGCATTAACATTGAAAATCTAGTAAAGATTTCTTTATATTTTAATTAAAAAAAAATGTTATATACATTTATAATAATTGGCATTACAGAAAACTAGTTAACGCTGCTGTGTGAGTGTTTCTAACAAAGTCATAAAAACCATATTGTGGATTTATTCTTCCGCTATTGGAGCAAATGGGTATTCAGAAATCATATTTGTTGTAGTTTCTGTGACAACCAGGGGCGGATCTACCCGGGTGGCACGGGGTGGCAACTGCCACCCTAAGAAAAAGCTGTGCCACCCACCTGCCACCCCAGAATTATCACAGAATAAAATATAAATGTAAGCAGTGTTTCATGTGGTACTTGATGACAGAGTAACGCAAAATAATGGCAAAAACACGTCATTTAATAAACTGCACGATGGTTGCACGCGCGGGCAACGTGCAGTGTAGTCGGCTTCATTAACAAATGACTCTTATGAACCGGATCTTTTTGAGTCAAAAGCACAAAGCGCGGCCCAGTTCACTAACTAATTGTTTTTACATTTGTTCGTGAATCAATTACTGCTTTTCAGGTAACTCAGAAGTCCTCTGAGAAATCTAATCCCATCCGGATATGTCTGAGATTCATCGCGTAATTGTTTGGTGATCCGATTCTCCGACCGCTCGCTCCACTTTCATCATGGATATAAGCCGTAACAATAACATGAAATCAATAAGAAGATGCCGATCACGGAAACTAGCAGTGTTAGGTAAGAATCTAGTCGTATTGCAGTTTTCTCGATTGTTAATATAACTGATTTTAGTTGCCACTTTCCCCCCCAAACCATTAATTCAGTTTTCAAAACAAAGACACATTTTTCAAAAAGTTTAACAATGAGTAAGTTAAACATTAGGTAGCAAAACTGATGACACACCAATCAGAATCTCTGCATCCTAACAACGGAGAGATGAGAGAGCTGAGCCAATCATCTACAGGGGTTTTATACTTACACATACAGTACCAGTACAATAGATAATGAAAATTTCACTATTCTGCATGTACAGTAAACTGTAGCACATGTTGTACACCTTCAAGCGTGTGACTGTCAAATTTTATTTGTAACCATTTTTTATGTGTACTGCA